GCGCCACTGCACTCCAGCCTGGGCGACAGAGCGAGACTCCGTCTCAAAAAAATAAAAATAAAAATAAAAATGTTTTTAAAATGAAGCTATCAAAATGGGGCCGCCAGAGCTGCCTTTCCTGGGTGCCTCTGAAAGCTGGTCTGGTGTAGCAGCACCACTCACCAGGAGTACAGCAGTCTCCCTAAAAGTGGAACAAATACTTGTAGCAACCATGGAGAAGGAGGTACCTGCTAGCCAGAGGGAACACGGGACAGAGGCCAAAGTGGCCTGGAGGCTGCTGGGCGCAGCCTGCCCCTCTGCCCCTCTGCTGCGGGAGCTCCTGGACCACACTGGCAGCAGTCAGACAGGGCCGAGAGCTGAGAGAAGTCAGTTCTTCCAAAATTAAGATTTCTAAATGAAATATCTGTTTGATTTTTAAGTTTTTAAAAACTGTTTGAAATAATGTCCAGAAAGGTTGCAGAATTAACACTCCTCACCCAGCATCCCAAGTGCGGGCGTCTTCCCACACTGCTTTCTCTGGCAATGTGAGGGGCTCAGGGGTCTGTGTTCTTGTTGTGTCCTGTGTTCTGCGGTGGCCCTTCATTCTCTGCTCTTTGTGACCTTGACCACTGCGTCAGTCACTTTGCAGCTGTGCCTCGGTCTGGCTGATGGGCCCTGGGGACCAGACATGGGGCACGTCCTCAGGCCTCAGCAGGAAGACCCATGGCATGCAGAGCCTGCTAGATCCTTAATCTGTGCCAGATGGGCATGAGGTGAGGGGCACAAGATTTTTGGATGGGTCCCTTTCCCCAGGTTCCCATTTATTATCAGGGCGGGAGGATGAGCTGTTAGTGCATGAAAATCACTGCAGAAGATCACCAGGAGCTGCATGGAGTGCCGGCTCTCTGGACTTGTTTTCCTTTGCTCTGTTGAAAGTTGGGCTCCCAAAGCCAGGCGCAGTGGCTCACGCCTGTAATCCCAACACTTTGAAAGGCTAAGGCGGGTGGATCATGAGGTAAGGAGTTTGAGACCAGCCTGGCCAGTATGGTGAAACCCTGTTTCTACTAAAAATACAAAAATTAGCTGGGTGTGGTGGTGCACGCCTGTAATCCCAGCTACTTGGAAGGCTAAGGCAGGAGAATCGCTTGAACACAGGAGGCGGAGGTTGCAGTGAGCCGAGATCGAAATGCCACTGCACTCCAGCCTGGGCAATAGAGGGAGACTCCATCTCAAAAAAAGAAAGAAAGTTGGGGTCCTGAGCTCCCCTTGTCACCCTGAGTGTCCATCTGCCACTCGGTCCTGTTGTTCTTTTGGCCTCAGGAGTTCTTTAATGCCCCCACTTTTCATCTCCTTTGCTGCTTTCTGCTTCCAGTCACCACCATCCCAGGGTCTCCTGGCCACTCCCACCCCTGCCACTTCGCCAGCCCAGAGAACCCTCACAAAACATAGCTGGTCTCTGAGTGCTAGGCTGGATTCCAGGCAGGGACATTAGCTGATTGCTCTCCTGAGGCAGACTGGACGTCTCAGACGCCGATAACATGAGGGGATCTGAGTGACAAGGTGGGCCAGGACACTGGGTGGACAGAGTGAGGCTGTCTCCCCCAGGTGATCCCCCACCCGGCCCACCTGTCACCAGCCTCACCTGCCTCTGGTCTTCTGGCCGCCCCCCGTCCTGCAGACCTGCAGCTCCTGCCAGCTAGACCACCTCCCCCGACCCCACTCTCGGGGTTTACCTGGCCAGTTCCCGTCCCTGCCTGATTTGCTGGTGTCTGCCTCCCCAGTGCACCTGCAGAGAAGCCCCCATCACCCACCCTGCCCGCCCCTGCCTGGGGAACTGGGCCCCCACCAGGCCTCTCTCCCGGCTTCCACAACTTAAGCCGTTCCCTGCCAACAAGGGGCCGGCACCCTCTGGTTCATTCAGCCTGAGCCTGTTGTTTCTCTCGGCACACCCGGAGATGCTGGTCATCTGTGTGTGTGGATAAGGGGAAGCCGGCCTGCCCCTGCCTCTGCGCACATCTCACCGAACTGTGCAGTTCCTGAAGGTCAAGGACTGTCTCTTTGGAGCAGCCTTTCTGTCTGACAGAACATTCTGGGATGATGGAAATGTTGTATTTGGTGCTGTCCACTTCAGTAGCTGCTGGCCATATAGGGCCATTGAGCATTTTAGGTGTGACTCATGGAACTGAGGAACTGGGTTTTTAGTTGTATTTACTTATTTTAGAGATGAGGTCTTGCCATGTTGCCCAGGCTGGTATCAAACTCCTGGACCGAAGCAATCCTCCCACCTCAGCCTCCCGATTAGCTGGGACTATAGGCTCATGCCACCATACCCGGCTGTGTTTTATTTTAATTAATGTAAACATGTGGCCAAGGCTTCCATACCGGACAGTACGGCTGTGGGCAGTCTAGCTGAGCTGCCTGCACGTAAGGGCAGATGGTGAGTTAGTCAGCTTGATGCAAGAAAGGTAGACGCTTAAAGGGTGGGTTTGTTTCCTGTTTAATGAACATTTTCCAGAAAGTGGGGGGATCCCGTAGCAGTGGGTTTCAGATACAGGAGACCAGACAGGAGAAAATATTGTGAGATGGGAAAGTGGATGCCAGCAACAGGAAACAGCAGAGAGGGGCTGAAGTTCTCGAAAGGCCAAGAAGAGCCTGGTGGGAAATCGGTCTTACCTCAGAACTGCCTGTGCTCAGGGCACAGGATCGACTTTTTCGCCTTGGGCTGCTTTTTCTTTTCTTTCTGTGGGTGAGAATTTTATTGCCGTATCATTGATATACACTGAACTGTACATACTTAAGGAGTACAATTGGATGAGTTTTGAAATATGTATGAATACCTGAAGCCATCCCTGCAGTCCAAGCAGTGTAGATGCCCAGAGCCCAGAGTTCCCTGTGCCCTGTGTAACCCCCCTCTGACCCCTCCTTGCCCCACCTGTCCCCAGGTAACCACTGATCTGCCTTCTGTCACTGTAGGTTGATTTGCATTTTCTAGAGCTTTGCATAATGGCCTCCTGCAGTGCATACGTGGTTTCCTATGACCTCTTCCACTCAGTACGGTGATTCGGGGACTCACCCAGGCCGTGTGTCCTTTCTCCATGGCCAAGCAGGGTCCCAGCAGTGCTGTTTGTCCATCCGCCTGCCTGCAGAGGAGCTGGGCGGCTTGCTTTTACGTAACCTTCACGCGTGAGCGGTTTGTAAGCCCGCTCACCCCGGGGCAGGATGTTGGGCCAAGCACTGCTCGGGATAGGCTGGCGGTGAAACCCAGAGGCTAGAATCTGCTTATGAGGGGGATGAGTCTTTGCGGAGACCCTTAGAGCCCAAAACATCATTATCCTGTTGCATTTTTTTTTAGCCACTGTTAGGGCAAGAGATCCGGGGCATGCCACGTGAAATGCAACAGGGCCTTTCCTGAAGACGGCTCCTCTGTGCGGTGGGTTTCCCACACAGGGCCTAAGGCATTTCGATTCTTGTTATCAACAACCAGATTCAAAACTTGCCTGTCCTTTAAGTTTCTGGGTGCCCTTTCCCCCCCAGGCCTCTGGGGAGTTTTGGGCTCCTGTTTCCTAACCTTTCCCCAGCCAGCCTTCCCATCACCTTTCCTTCTCCCCAGGAAATGAATTCCCAGATAAATGCACAGTCCCAGTGGGCCCTTGCACAGGTGTGTCTCTACGTCCCTGCCTGAGGTTAGAGCATTCATGTTTTGAGAGCAAGGACCCTTTGTCTACTGAGAAGAGCGAACTGAGGCACGGTTAGCAGGCCCCCCGTTCAGTGCAACCAGAGGGAGTCAGAGGCTGGGGCTGGTTAGGAAGTTTCAGAAGCCAGTGTAAACTCCTAAGAATGCGCCCAGAGAATAAAAGTTTACTTGAGAATATTTTTTCCCAGGGAGATGTTTCATAGGATGGGACATTTAAGTTGGGTTTTAGTTTTATCTTCATTTTTCTTCCGCTGGTACCAACCATATAAATTTATATATATATATATCTATATATGTGTGTGTATATATATCCCAATACAAATGTATATGTACTAGTAAGACAGATGGGGAAATATATATATACATTTCCCCATCTGTCTTACCCATTCTTGAAAATCAGTGTGTATTCAACTAGTTGGGATTTGTTTCATGTGGACGCTGAACCCAGCAGTCCCTTTCACAGAAACGTGAGGAAGCCTTGCTTTTCAACCTGATTTTTGGATTCCCGAGCTGGTGGCCGGATCTCTCCGCCCCACATGTAACACCTGAATGGAGAAATGTCCTTCCCTCCACCCGTGTGCCGTCCAGCAGGCTTCGGGGGCAGCTTTGTAACTCCAGGGCCACCCCCTACACGTCCTCTCTCTGCGTTTTAGATCTAGGTGGCCAGGCAGTTGTGGGAAATGGAAGGAGCTCCGACTGCCCCCTGCCAGCCCTGGGTAACCACAGCCATGCAAGGTCCCTGCCCGTACCTGGGAACTAGCTGTGAAGGGCATCCGCCAGGGATGTGCCCAGCGCCCAACTGTTTGCCTGCTTAAGATAAAAGACCAAAAATGAGCCTTTTTCCTTGGAAATTCATACCGCCCCCTCATTCCCAGGGAAGGAAACAAATTGATCGGTATTGCAGAAGAACGAGATCTTTGATTCGTGTCGACATTCGTTTCTAACCAACCAGCCAGAGCTGAATTGTTTCTCGCTGGTGAGCCTGGCCTAACGGACATATGAGAGGGGAGGTTTGGATTTTTTGTTTTTATTTATTTATTTATATTTTTATTTATTGAGACGTAGTCTCGATCTGTTGCTCAGGCTGGATTGTAGTGGCACGATCTCGGCTCACTGCAACCTCCGCCCTCCAGGTTCAAGCAATTCTCCTGCCTCAGCCTCCCGAATACCTGGGATTACAGGCGCCCGCCACCACACCCGGCTAATTTTTTATATTTTTGACAGAGATGGGGTTTCACCATGTTCGCCAGGCTGGTCTTGAACTGCTGACTTCAGGTGATCTGCCCACCTCAGCCTCCCGAAGTGCTGGGATTACAGGCATGAGCCACTGCACCGGCTGTTGGATTTAATGTGTTACTTTACTCACCAGGAAAGTGTCCATGAGTTGTGAAAGTTACCAAAAGCCTGTTGATCGTCCTGTGAAAGAACTTACCTGGCCATTGCTCTGACATTCTGAGTCCGGAATATTGTCGTCTTGATTTTATATTTGACATGAAAAGTCAGTCACTGTGTAACTTTGTTTACATATAAAAGGAAGGATGATCTCATTC